TGTGTGTCTTCTTTTCTCCATCTCCCATTGCCGCCTGCTCTCCCACCCCTCCATCCTGGGGCCAGGTCTCAGCTTTTCTGTGCTGGTTGCAGCGGATCAGGTCTTCAGTTTTCAAATTGTTGGGTTCTGCAACATGCCTGTACCCACGTCTTAGCCTTTTTGTGTGCGTGCTGCTGTAACAAAATGCAAGCTAGGTAGTTTGTGATGAACAAAAACTTAGTGGCTCACAGTTCTAGAGTTTGGGAAATCCAAGACCAAAGGGCGTTCTTGGCAAGAGCCTTCTTCCCGCATCATTCTATGGCTTAGGGGCAAAGAAAGGGCAAGAGCACAAACTCTCAGCTTCGAGCCCCTTTTATCATTGACATGAATACATTTGTGAGAATGGAGCCCTGTCTTTAGGTTCCACCTCCCAACACAGTTGTACTGAGAATTAAGTTTTCAACGTGTATTCTCAGGGACACGTTCACCCCATAACAACTCACTGTAGACACCATCCTAATGCAGATCTGAGCACTTCGCTCACCCCTAATATTTTTTCCTTAGCTCCTTCTAGTCAGTTCCCTCATATTCCTTACTGTGTCATGCAATTTCTGTTCTAATTTTTATCTCCACAGAACTTTTTCCTTTGTTCTTAAAGTTCACATAAGTGGTATATATGTCATATGCTCATTTGTGCTTAAGGTTGTTCACCTAATATAATGTTTGCAAGATTCATCCCAACCGACATATGTATCACTACCTCATTGTTTTAAATTACTAAATGTCATTCATTTTGTGAGTATGTCCCAATTTGTCTAGCCATTCCTCTCTTTTGAAAGAGGGTCTCACTGTGTAGTTCAGGCTGGTCTTGAACGCACTGTGTAGCCCAGGCTGCCCTCAAACTCAAGGCGATCCTCCTGGCCCAGCCTCCTGAATGTTGAGATTACAGGTATGCACCACCAGGCCAAATCCCATTTTTCTCTTAATGGACAGTTGGGTAATGTATAGTTTTTGGCTTTTATGAATAATTTCATACATATTCATGTAGATGTTTGTTTTCTCTCGTGTCAATAGCTAGTAGTGGGAACGCTGAATTATGGTATGAATGTATATGCCTCATTTTATTAAAAACTAACAAGCACTGAATCATGGTACACTCATATAATCTCAGAACTTTGAAGGCTAAGACAGGAGAATCATGATTTCAATGCCAGCCTGGGCTACATAGTGAGTTCAAGGTCAGCCTGGACTACATAGTAAGATCTTGTCTCAAAAACATCATTCAATCAGACTAAATCACAGCAACAAAACTGTCAATAATTTCCCAAAATAATTCTACCATTTTATATTCATATAAGAGTTTGAATTGATCCCCACCAACATTTAGGTTGTAGTCTTTAATTTTGGTTTTAAGTGGAATGACTCCTCCTTTTAAATTTCATGTAGTAATGGACATGGTTGTTTATGTCCTTTATCCCATTATTTGTCCAGTCAGATTTTTTTGTTTTTTAGATTTTTTTGTTTTGTTTTGTTTTTTGCTCTTTCTCCTTTTCTGTGTTCTTTTGACTTAAATATCTTTTTATATTTCATTTTAATTGCTCTGAGGCCATTTTACTTAGGCCTTTGAAAACTCTTTTTAGTGGTTTCTTTCAGGATTTAGGGTTCATTGATTCATCCTAATCATGTCTGCTTAGGGTTAATATTGTACAGCCCTATCCTTTGCTGTATTATTATTATAAATATTTTCTCTCGTATACTTGTAAACCACGCCATATATTGTTAAAGTTTTTGCTTTAAAGATTCAGTTTTGAGATTTGGAGTATAGCTCAGTAGTAGTATGGATGAGGACTTGGGTTCAATCTCCACCATATACCAAAAATTTGTTGTACTTTTGAATAAATTAACAGCAGAAAAAAATTCATCTTTAACTTTTACTCTCGTATTTATTATTTCTGGTCCTGGGGATTTCCTTGTAGATTCACTTTTTGGTGATTTGCACTACAGGCCTATTTACAACACATTCAGTTTTTGTGTATCTGCAGATTGCTTTATTTGAGTATTTTCATTTTAATATTTAAAAGATATTTTCTCTGCTTATTATGACTGGTAAGAATATCAGTGATTTCACCGGGAATTTAGCTCAGTGGTTCCACTGCCTGCCTCGCAAGTGCAAGGTTCTGAGTTCAATGCCCAGTACAAAAAAAAAGAAAAAAGATTATCATTGATTTACATTTTCTTCTTTTTACTTGTGTGTGTTTTACTTTTTTTCCTGTAACATACAGTAGTAATGACATTTCTTTGTTCTTCTGAACAAATCACTTATGATGACTATCGTAACAGTACGCTTGTGATTCTTTTCTACATTTCATATTCTAATTGCAGTAGATTAACTGTCTCTAATCTTTGTAGTCTGTGTAGTAAACAATATTCCTTCTGCCATTAGGAATAGAGAAATTGGGACAAATTAAAGTTAAATAGTTTATCCAGAATTTCAAGCACATTGATAGAGTAACCAGAAATAGATCTTAAATTTCAAGCCCCCTCAGTTCAGCTGTGTACACAATTTTTAGCCTTCAGAATCAAAGTATGCATTTAATTCTATATTTTCTAATGAGCATAGAAAAATTATCACAGTTAAATATAAGCCTCAAATATTTTGGAAACTTCACTTTAATCACTGATTTCTATCTCTTCTCCATGAAATCTCTTTCTAAAACTCCTAGTAAGTAGAAAATTTGACTGATTTTAATTTTACTACAGTTAACCCTCGAAGAACTAATATCCAAATAGCAGAAAAACATATGTTGAGATAGCAAGTAATTTCCTTCTTTGGGAGAGTTGAAAGCTTTATATATTAAATGCAAAGCCTGAGGATGTAATATAATCATTCAATTGTCAATACGTAAACTTAGTCAGGCATATTTTAGATATATCCTAAGTTTTTGCTAAAAGAGTTTACTTTAAGAAAATCACAAAATATAGTGATAAAATTGGTCTTCTCTTTCTGAAGTTTCAGATTGAAATTAAGTAAAATCACCCTAGAAAGATACCAAATAAAACTTTTAAAATTCTATAGAAATGTATAAAAGCAAAAGGAAATGATCATTAAATCTTAATAGTTTTCAGTGTGTGAACCTGGACTAGATTCTCTTCTAGAGAATAAAGAAGGCTGAAAGGACATCTGGTAAAACTGACGTAGAAATAGTAAAGTCCCAGATAATGAATCAGTGGTGAAGCTGTGTTCAGTAACTACTGTGGCTTCCAAAGAGAAGTCCCTTGTCGTTGGGAAATGCATACTGAAAGGCATAGCATTTACAGTCTGCTCTCAAGTACTTTTAAAAATATGTATACATACATATATATATATATATATGTGTGTGTGCTTACAGTGTGAAAGAGCAAATCATAAACATGATGCGTTTTGTAAAATGGTGAGTCTGGGTAAAAGATAGAAGTTATCTATATTAGGGGCCAGGGATTAAGCTTAGTGGTTCCACTGCCTGGCACAAAAAAGAAAGAAAGAAGTTATCTATATTGTCTTGCAACTTTTATGTAAGCTTGAAATTATTTTTAAATAACTTTGTTTTTAAACTTAGTACTCCTGAGTTCATTTTTTAGAATATTATATATTCAACTTCATTTTTCATATATCATTCTGAAGTATCAGAATTATACCAGTATATATCTGATGTATCACTATTTTTTTCTAAAAGAGAAAGTTTAGATTCTAGCCAAAAGAAAAACTCCATGTTTGACTTTTAAAAAGTAGACTACTCATTGTGATGAACTTAGTTATGGAGAAATATGAGGAAAATATTCAATAAGCAGAGAAAGTTTTATTAAGAAGGAACTATTTTAAAAAAAGAATGAACCTTGTACAAATGAATTTCATTCCAAAGTTGTTTTAAATAAGAATTGCTTATAAAAGTAGCCACTTAAAGGGTGTGTATTTAGCACCATATGTAACCCTGTAATTCAACATCTGTGAACATTTCTAGGGGTTTAAAATTTGTAGAATCTTGCTCTGGGGCCTAAAGCTTCAACACTTAAGAGGTTTCACCAGAGACCTAATAAACAGGATTTTTTTTTTCTTTTTGGCATGTGAGGTGATTAAATAACATAAGAATGACTGTGGCAAAGCAAATTATGGGATGTGAAGATTGACATTTTTCCCTTGTGAAAACAATTTTCATTTAAACTTTTTAATGTGCCTTGTGAGAATATTTCAGTCACTTTTAGGGATAAGTTTTTCAACTGAAGAGCACTACTACTACATAATGATTCATCTTATTTGTCTTGCTATCTAATTTGATAAGATTCCAGTAAATGATATTCTTTTTAAATATATAGCTATGTGTTGTTCTGACTATGAAATTGCTCATAATAGAAGAAAAATTCTTAATTCCAGTTATGAATATTAAAAGTGACTTTTATTGAAATACTTGTTTCTAGAACTACTTTTTTGTTTGTTTCTTGAACAGGGCCTTGCCTATGTGGTTCAAATTGGCCTGAATTTATTATGTATCCCAGGCCAGCTTTGGACTCCTAGCAATCCTCCTGAGCCAGCCTCCCAAGTACTGGGATTACAGGCACACACCATGACACCCAGCGAGAACTACTTCCTTTGTTCTTTTTCTTTCTTTCTTTCTTTCTTTCTTTCTTTCTTTTTTTTTTTTTGTATGAGGTTCAAACTCATGACCTTCTGCTTGCAAGGCTGGTGCAGTGCCACTGAGCTAAATCCCTGGCCCAAGAATTGCTTTGTTTATAGTTTTGTTCACTTGTCTGAATAAGTTAGATGTTTCCTCTGTGATGGTAAAACATAAACTGCTCTCTTTGGATCAAATGAAATTCTGAAATAATGAGAAGTATTATTAATTAAAACACAATATTTTGTCTCACATAAGTAAAACACAAGTTGAAACTTCAAGTTTAAAATTTTTCCATAATTATTTTAGATACTACATTTCAGTATCTTGAAGGTTCATCCTCCCTAATTCCGAACGTTTTCTCCACTTCACCTTTAACAGTAAGAAACGTGTCGTATCCAGGCGAACATGTTTCACCAAGACTGGTGTGCTGCCCCTCATCCTTCTGTTCGTTCTCTCGTGTCAGAAAGAGGTACAAGTTATAGATAAGTGAAAATGGTGCTGGTGTCGCCTCCTGTGTCCGAGTCTACAAGCTTGCTGTGCTGTGTGGGAGTAAATTACTCTTTTAAAAATACTGAGCTGAAACGGTTACACAGAAACCTCATGTTTAGGAAATGACCTATTGATTGGCTGTCTGAAGTGAGAAGCATTCACCTTGAGGTTCTTTTCTCCAATAGTTTTGCTTCATAGCTTTTCAGAGATTGCTGTCCATAGTCAGCTGAGAGCAAATGCTCATCTTCCCACATTCGAGACGTGCTCAAGGTGCTGCCTTAGAGAAAAGATAATGTATGGATATAAAGAAATACATACACAGGTTTCTTGAACATATTTGGTAAACTACAACATTAATAATGTCTGTATCGCGTTCACTGTTTTCACATCATATGCGGTGCCATGTAGCATCCTTTTATTTGGTGACATGGCTGCTATGGTAACTACTGTGTTCTGTGCACATCTTGAAAAACGACCAGGAAAACTAGATCTAAAAATAGGTTTTCATCGAGCTTCATAAGAAAATAGAGGGGAGCATGGAGGAAATGTAGGTCTACACAAATTAAATAGGAAAATTCATCAAACGTTTATATTATCTTTTTGAATGTAGTACACTGTTGACATTTCAGTAAGAAAAATGCTGTCCAGTTGGGGCAGCTCTGCTAAGTCATCCAGATGCCCTATTCTTTGATCAACAAGGGGTAACTGGATTCTCCTGGAGTTTTAAACAGTTCAGTCTATAGATGGGAAGGTGTTGTAGAGGGAGTATTGATATATATATTGGCATATGTATAGGACATTTATCCTCATTTTGTAAAATTTGGTTGTACCAAACTGGCTTCTGAAAATGCACATTGGCGTACCATTTATTTCTCATTTCTTGTTCTAACTCAAGAAATAGACACACTAAATCTCCTTACTCAATGAAGAAAAAAATAAGCAAGCAATCTTCCTTAAACTGATACCATCAACTGGCTTATGTTCTAGTGGCCCTGTGCTCTAGAGTTTGAGATCCTGTGATTTGAACTCTGCTAGCTCAGCAAATATATCGGGAGCCTGTTAAGGATCAGGCACTGCTCTGGCAATAGGAATAAAGGAGCAGGACAGAAATAACCTCCGCCTTTGTGCAGCACATGTTCTTATTCGCGAATCATTCTGACTTTAGAAGGTGTTGGTAACCTCTCTAGAGGTCAGCTTCTTCAGGGAAATGAGGATGAAACCACAGTGTTCGAAGGATTGTTCTCAGGTTACGTGAAGTGGCAAAGGAAGATGCTTACTGAGGTACCGGAGACGTAGCAAACACTAAGTTAATCTTAACTTTCCCCGTCAGTGTGACTGTAAATGTCCTCTGTGGAGTAGAAATAAAATGATAGTTGCCATCTACCTACAGTACTGACCAAGAATATATTTGAGAATCTTTGAAAAAATAATCTCCATCCCTTGAAAAAAGAAGTAAGATCTGTTATATTAATGTACCAATGCCCCAAGAATGCAGCCCTGATGTGCTGCAAACATGTACTGATATAAAATAAAAACTTAAAATGTTTTTAAAATATAAACAAATAATCCCTGTCCTTTGCTAGTTTATTAAGATCCAGGTAATAAGTCTCATTCTGATTTTAAAACACTTTTAGAAGAAAAGGACTTTGATAGCCTTACAAAGAAATTTAAACTGTTGCTTACAGCCATTATGTAGAGCAAAGAAATGGGAATAATATGTTCTTGACAAATTCTATTACACATATTACAAAGTTGCAGTGTTGAGAGCCCCCTGAGAGTGTAAATATTTACAAATTCAGAAGTAAATTTAACTCCAGAGGAAGAAAATTTAATTTCTTAAGCAATAATGAAAGATTTCAGCCGATGCTTCATGTGGACAATTGTAATAAAAGCCCATGTAGAGGGCCAGGGATTTAGCTCAGTGGTTCTGCTGCCTGCCTCGCAAGTGCAAGGACCTGAGTTCGATCCCCAGTACCCAAAAAAAAAGCCCATGTGAAAAGCCCAGTTATAGTTTTCAGATGTATTCTTAATCCAGTATGGTTACAGTAAAGATTAAAAGATTATGATGGTAAATAATTTTCATACCCCTTCCTAGTAGTTGTTTAATCATTATTATGTACAGTTTTTATCATAAATCAGTCGTTAGTGGAACTTCATGTTCAAATTAATTATTCATGAATTCTCTTTATTCTAATACTCTGTAATATTATCTGATATTAATTGGTCAGTCCTAATATGTTCTTGCATTTTTTCAACTAATGAAAGGTAAGAGCCAGGCATGTTGGTGCATGCCTATAAACCCAGCATTTGGGAGGCTGAAGCAAGAGGATTCCCATGAGTTTGAGGCCAGCGTTGAACTACATAGTGAGACCTTATCTCAAAAATAAAATTTTTTAAAAAATTAGTAAGTTATTATGCTCACACGATACATTTATGAATATATTATTTACTTTGAAATCAATGCCTTCATATATGTATTAGTGGTACCTTGTGAATGAGTACAGGGCATTTAAGAATTTTTGGTGTGTAGAAGGGGAAGAAAAACATTGGGAGAAAGGTCCTTGGGGGAAAAAACTGAAAATACAATGAAAGTACTACCCGACAGACTGAGGACAACTCTGGATCCAGAGACTGAATGTAACAATAATAGGCTCTTTCCATGTCACCTTAACTAGGGTGAAAAGCTAACACCATGTTATGAGCATAACGGACCCCCACTCGGTCCGTCTGACCAGGCAGGAGAGAGATGCCAGGGCTGTTCGTTGGTGGCTGAATGAAACTGCCTGGCAGAGCCTGGACTTCCTAAAGTGTGTTATTAAGAAATCAGTCAAAACAGAAAGTGCAGCAACTTAATGCCAGTTTTGTGTTGTTCCTTATAATTTTCTTTACATGCTTTTACTCATCTCTTTCATTAATGGTGGGAATATAGTTGAAGCTATTTCTTTATAGTGTAAAAGTTTTCTTAAATTTATAACTGGAAGAAATTTTAAAATCTACAAATTAAACAGGAAAACACAAAACTGAAATGCTTCACACATGGTATGATTATTTATGTAGAGAATAAAACCCTAAGAAGATTGTTAGGATACATAGGATAATTCAGAAAGGTTGCTGGATATAAAATCAGTATACAAAAAACAAATGCATGTTTATTTATCAATAAGTACTTAAAAGTAAAATGTTCTTTAAGATCCAATTATTGTCCTACCAACAAATGTGTAGTAGTAAAATAATTAAAGATAGGGGCCAGGGATTTAGCTCAGTGGTTCGGTGGCCTGCCTTTCAAGTGCAAGGACCTGAGTTCAATCCCCGGTACAAATAAATAAATAAATAAATAAGTAAGTAAAGATGTATGTTAGTAGATTTGATCACAGCATAGTAAAGGCCCTAATTCTCCCCAAATCAAAACACTAATGCCAGCCATACTTTTGTTTCTTTCATCTTTTTCCTTCTCTCCTCCCCTCTCTTCGCCTTCCCTTCCCTTTCCTCCTCTTTTCCCCTTCTCCTTCCTTCCATCCTTCCTTTTATCCTTTCTCTTTTAAGAGATGTAGATCTTGCTGGCTTCCCTTAAACTCCCAGGGTCAAACAGTTCTCCTGCCTCAGCCTACAGACATGTACCACCACTACCATGACCAGTTTCGCAAGATTTGTGTGTCTGTGTGTAGTACTGGGGATCAAACACAAGACCTTTACACTGAACTACATCCTCAGCCCTTTTTTTATTGCTATTATTTTATTTTGACCCAGGTTATCACTAAATTGCTGAGTTACCTAGGCTGGGCTTGAACCTGTAGTCTTGCCTCAGTCTCCCAGAATGCTGGGATTACAGGTATGAACCACCACACCCCACTTAGCAAGATTATTTTCTTTCATCTGTAAAGTTCTAGAGTTCCAAACCTACTCACTTCAGATGTCATCTACAAGTTTGCATCAGTCAGCCCACCTTATCTTGATAATTCACTACAAAGACTCACAGAACTGACAGCTATTGTATTCACAGCTACTGCTCATTGCAACAGAGGGCACAGAATAAAATCAGCCAAGAAAGAGCAAACAGTGCAGGTCCGGAGATGTTCAAGCTAGACTTTCCCCATCCCCTTCAGTCAAATCACGGACAGCACCATCTGCTTAGAGACTGAGAATACACGTTGAGTATTGCAAACCAGGAGAGCTCACCAAAAGCATTCTCTCCAGAATTTTCCTTGAGGCTCAGTTTCATTGACACAGTTGGCATCTGTATGGCAGGATTTAGTCCCTAGGGCCTCCAGAGGTCAAAGTGAAACTACGTGACCTCAAAGTCACTATGGAACCCAGGCTGGCCTCAAACTCCCAGTGATCCTCCAACCTTAGCCTCCCTAGTGCTGGGATTACAGGCATGCACCACTGCACCTGGCTGCTTCGGTAGCTTATAAGCAACAGAAATTTATTTCTCACAGTTCTGAAGGCTGGGAAAATCAGGGTGCCAGCAGAGTCAGTATCTGGTGATGACCTGCTTTCTGGATCAAGATCAAAGTCTTTCACTGTAGCTTCCCAGGGCAGAAGGGACAGCGAACTCTCCGGGGCCTCTTTCCGAATGGCACTAATGGAGTACATGAAGTTTCTCCCTCACAACAACCTAAGCACCTCCCAGAGTCCCCATGTCCAAATACCATCTCACTGGGGATTGGATTTCATTATATGAATTTAGCAGTGGAGGTAGGAGACACAAACACTTAGCCTGTGTCACTTAATATTGTGAACACAGTGGCTCTCCCTAGATTGTCCTAGAATAGGTTAATGCAATTCCAAATCATTGAGTGATTCAGGTAATCTATAATAGCTGTTTTACCACTGGCCTCTGGCCTCCTTCTAGTGGCTACAAGCAGAGGTTTATGCTTTTAAAGTCTTACGGAGTAATTTTTGAAACTATTCTTTGGATATAAACATTCATACATAATTCATCCACGGTATTCAGAATACCGGTAGCACTAAACTATACAAATTTGCATTTTATCTTCCATAATCTTCTGTTTTCTTCTTAAATTTCAAAACAAGAATCATTATCAAAAGTTTACAGAAACCAATAGCCAGTTTCTGTTTCTATGTGTTACATTTTTTTTTTTTTCTTTAAACAGGGATCAAACGCTAGTCCTTGCACCTATGAGGCGGGCAGTGGCGCCAGTGAGCTAAATCCCCGGCCTTCTATGTGTTATGTTTTAATAATACTTATTAAGCATCAGTTGTACGGTGAATTCTGTTCAGGACTGTCACACAGCATACAACTGTCATTCTGTCACAATCCTAAATAAACCTTTTTAAAAATTTTTCTTAGTTTATTGATGAGCAGAGAGACAGGGGTGGAGGCACAAAGGAAGAACTGTATTTCTTAACTGTAAAGGCCAGCATGCTGTTCAGAAATTGGATAAGGTAGATTTATTAATCTGTGCTGAAGGTGAGTAAAGTCTGACCCCAGCCTTCAAAAGATTTGCATAAAAACATCAGCTCCGGGAGAATTTTGTAATCACTAGGATAACAGATGTCCAGTTCTTGAGATTTGGCTTTAGAAGGTAGGGACTGGGGCATTGCCTTCTAATATTAAGACAGAAGATGATACAGAGAGACAATACAATATGTTGAGTAAATCAGGATTGTTTTAAAGTCAGGGGTCTTAAAAATTTGAAAATGTTTAAGAAATGTCAGTTTAGCTGGACCTGGGAGGAAAGGGGAAACTTCCAGATGAGTAGAGGCAATCGTTACCACAGAAAGCAGGCTGGAGCTAGAGGATAAAGGCTGTAAACCAAATCAAGGTATTCTACATAATATGATCTATAATGGAGAACCATTGGATAATACTGAGCAGAAGAAGAGGTCTAAGACACAAAGATACTTTAGAATCCTTCATTTGTTAGCAAGGGTACAAAATAGAAGGGAGAAGAGCAAACAGTGAAAGGAGTTATGAGTCTGGATTCAAAACGATACATTATTAAATCTAAGTAGCAGAGGGAATGGGAAATAAGAAAGACTAGAAAAACTTTACTGAGGTATAGTTGTCAGGATTTGTTAACTCATGGGATGGTAAAGCAGCTAACGGGGGAGAGCACACGAAGAGGACTCAGTCTCTGAAGTAGACTAGCAGAAAAAATGTGTCCATTCATAGAAATGAAGAACTCTGAGATGGGCGTGGTGGCGCGTGCCTGTAATCTCAGCACTTGGGGAGCTGAGGGAGAACAGTGCAAGGCCAGCTTGGGCCACAACGTGAGCTCCAGCTCGAGACCAGTCGAGCTACACGACAACACTTTGTCTCAAAAACCAAAACAACAACAAAATAAAACGGTGGGGTAAAGAACTGAATAGAAAAGCTTAGAGAATAAGCACCGTGCTCCATACTCCTGTTTGCAGACATGTTATGCTATGACGGTGTATTCTTCATTCCGACTCCTTACTACCTCCAAAGCAATCTTCTAAGGGATGAAAAACCAGAATCGTCTACATGTATGACAGGAGCAGAATTGTTAGTAAATGGTGTCCTGTTAACTCTTACTTTTTTATTCACTACTTTGAAATATTTTACTAGGCTCTCTTTGGATTCTTATTGCATATTATCATCTAGGTCTTAAACGTAGATCTTGTACCCACTTTGACTTGATCTTTGTGTATAGTGTAAGATGTGGATCCAATGTCCCCATTTTGCCTGAGGAAATCTAGTTCTCCCAATACCATTTATTTAAGAAATAGCCTTTTTCCATGTGTCTTCTTGGTGCCTTTATCAAAATCGGTTGCCTGTATATGTTTGGATTTATTTTCAGTCTGTCTTTTCTGTTCTGTGGTTTTTTCTGTTTTCATGCGAATACCATACTGTTTTGAAGACTGTAACTTCCTAATACAATTTTAAACCAGGAAAAATGACGCTTACCACATTGTTTTTCTTCCTCAGAATTGCTTGGGCTAGTTAGGGATTTTGTGGTTCTGTTTGAATTTTAGGGTTATATTTTCTATTTCCGTGAAGAAGTCCATTGGGATCTTGGTGGGGACTTGCCACAACATGGGTGGACCTGGGGAACATTGCACTAAGGGAAAAACCCAGGCATGGAGAAATGTTGCACGTGATCTCATTTGTACATAGAATCTTTTTTTTTTTTTTAAGTCAAATATAGAGGGGCTGGGGATTTAGCTCCGCAGTTCAGTGGCCTGCCTCGCAAGCACAAGGACCCGAGTTCGATTTCCGGTACCAAAAAAAATAAATAAATAAAGTCAAATATAGAGAGGTTATAACAGTGGTTACCATGAGTAGGGAGAAGTGGAAGAAATAAATGTAGGTCAAAAGATACAAAGTACCACATGAAAAAGACTAGAGGTCTAATGTACAGCATGAGAAATATAGTTTAAAAAGCTGTGATGTATTTAGGATTTTAATTGATAAGTAGATGTTAGCTTCTTATGTCACATTTAGAAAGCTGCAGTGAGATAGATATGTTCATTTGCTTAACTATGGTAACTATACTATAGTATCCTATGGTATCACTTTAAACTTCTCATATACACAAAAAGTATGCTTAAATAATACTGACGTCAAATAAAATGCCAGAAGAAAATGAGAGGGAAACTGGCAAAGGAGGGCTTTTGCCCACACTTAGGCTCAAGTCTCCAAAGGGAAAATGTATCTCTGGGAGCCAGGTCTTGTGGCAACTCTGAAAGTAGAATGTGAACCAGGAATTCAAACCAGAGAAAGCACAACTACACTAGCTATCTGGGTTCAGTGAACATCGGAATAATAAAAATGTATGCTTTTTTACTGACTGGGAACAGGTTGATTACTAATGAAAGATCTACCCCCAGGTTTGGTGTCAGAGACATAGCTACTAGGGCTGTCTACTCCCCCTCAAAAATAAGTTAACTGGGCTGGGGATTTAGCTCAGTGGTACCGCCACCTGCCTAGCAAGGGAAGGGTCCAGAGTTCGATCTCTGGTACCAAAACAAATAGATTAACTTCCGGTGTTGTTGCTAAACAAAGGACAGGCTTCCCGAGAAGCTGCAGATGGTCCCCAAGTTTCCACCCCAGATTCCATTCCTTTATTTTAGCCTCTGTCTTTTAGGTCATATATGACTTCAGTGCCTTTAGGGCTGCAACACAATGCCTTCTGTGACGCGCTGGCAGCCATGTCTGAGATGGAAGGCACAGGCCAAATCTCCTAACTTAACAGGCAGCACGGCGAGCGCTTCCCTTGCTGGTCTTGAGCACCTTCCGTTCACCACCGCCCAGTGTGGCCCTAGCCCTTCTAATTTGTAGGATCTCTATTAGGAGCCATTCTCTATTCAAACATCATTAAGTTTGTATTTTTAATATTATATTCTCCTTACAAATTCTAGAATTCACTTTTCGATAAAAATTTAGTAGTTATATATATTTCTTTTTAGAAAGCACATTATTTTTCAGCGCTCTGATATTTCTCTGATTCTTTATAACTTTCTAAAAATAACTGCTGGTGAGCTCATAAATTCATTAGCTAATCCCACTGGGACTCAATAATGCATATTACAGACCTCCTGATTTTTATATATTAGATTCTCTCAAGAATTCCCTTACCTGTTATTATCAACATAGCTATATTGACAAGGTCTTCATTACTTCCTAATTGCCCATACTTCTTTTTCTTGTTAAAGATCAATTTTTAAAATCAAGCCTTGTCATTTTGAAAGTACCATAGACATGTTACCCTGTTAATATTAATGTGTTTCTTTTTCTCTCTAGCTTCTTTCCTCCTTTATCATGAAAACTCACAAAGTTTATTCATTACCTTTTGCTTTAGAAATGCATTCTTTTTAGGTACTGGGGTGCATGTTGAGAATAAAAGAGCATATGTTGGCATTTATCCCACTGAAACAAAGATTTTTAAAGATCCTTCACATTTCAAGATGACTTTGTGAATAGTGATATTCCATATTCTAAACAGAACCTAACATGTAAATTATGCATAGATGGTTGATTATGCATTATTCTCTGACCTGTTGGTCTGGAACCATGTAAAATAAAGTGACTAGCAGTAATTGGAATAGTGAATGACTAACCAAGAAATTCTTCTGGTTTATCTTTTGGTGGTATGTTATGCTACAGGCTTCCTGTCATTCTGTTTACTGTTTTTTACTTATTGTTCATCAGTAAAATTCATCTCTGACCAGTCTGATTCCTCTTTGTGTATGTGTGTGTGTGTGTGTGTGTGTATGTGTATCTGTGTGTGTTTGTACATCTGAAGAAAACATTTGCTTTCTTAGAGAATTATTCCTTCTATTGAGGGAATCATGAATAAACTAAATAAAGTACTTCTTCATTTAAGAATATCCTACTTCAAGGGCTGGGGGTGCCACTCAGTGATAAAGCTTGTGCTTAACATGCATGAGGCCCTGGGCTGTCTCCAAAACCCAAACAAACCAAAATTCTATTGACATATAACTTTTCGAGACAACTGCTACATAAAATGGGATGTTACTTCAGAGTAGTTTACATCTGCAAAAACAAACATCAGGATTTGGGGTGCTAACTTACTAGCATACTTTGGAATCATTTTTGCTCCTCCTTCACCTCCCTTCAAAAAAAATCATAAGCACTGAGATCAAATACAGAGGGGTTTGGACAAAGCCAACTTGTAGGAAACATTGGGGTTGGAGTTAGGACAGGGAGAAGCGAGGGCAGTGTACATGGCAGAGACACTGTTCTGTTCTTTGAGCATTCTACTCTCAGTACCCTTTTCAACCATTTTCTGTTAAATTTCTAAAAGCTATTATATGACTATAACTTTCTTCTATGTCAGTTCCATTATAAGACACTTTTCTTAAATATGTAGTCTTTGGGGAAAACAAATTATACATTTCAGCAATTTGATCTTTCTCATATGATTTATAGTCTCATCCTTCATATTTAGGGTTTCTAATCCTTTTGACCATTTGTGCTGCCATTACTGCCTTGAAATTGGCCACAGTTCATTTTCTAAAACAAGTGCTAAGTCCAGGATAAATATTCAGTGTAGTATTTTAATTAGAAGATCCCCTTCCTCTTAGTTTTTTCACAGTGCATGACATCATTGACAAACAGGATTTATGGAACAAACATATGGAAAATAAAAGTAACTATTCTCTGCTCTGTAAAACATCAAAGAGGCAGAGTTCAAATTATTGAGAGAATTAGCCTGTAAGGTAATAAAACAGAATTATTCATTTTTATTTCAGCTGACCCTGATTATCTAAACACTTGCGACTATAACAGATATTACACAGTGCTTTTCCTATCATGAAATAAACTTCAGAGGAAAACAGTCTACTTACAAGATTGTTACATCACTGTACTGCTGTAGTCAATATACAAGAATAAAAGTAATTCATAATAAAATGAATATGCATTTCAATATTTAAAGTACACTGGCAAATCTACATGAGAAGGCGTAGTAATAATAGTCAGATCCTTGGTCCTGCGCCTGGAATCACCGTGAATCTGACAGCTCCAGATGCAGGGTCATCCAGCTATGCTTACTGGCTTAATTAAAGTACCGTGGGCAGTGGTACTGCACATCCACATTTTCTCAAAGGGCAAACCACTCCTGGTAATCTGGAAAGCACAAAGTATACCATATCTTACAATGTATAAGGTGGTTGCGCTCCTAGAAAATTCAGTATAGGGCCAGGGATTTAGCTCAGTGGTTCTGCCACCTGCCTCGCAAGCACAAGGTCCCAAGTTCAATCCCTGGTACCAAAAAGAAAAAAAGAAAATTCAGTATATATGAAAACTGTACAAAAAGTACTTTATTTGCAGAACAGATTCAAATTATAAGCCCATATAATTATAAATAGGCTTTTCAACTACATGAATAGCTGTGGAACACTTGAAAACCATGTGGGCTGCAGAACAATTCAACACACTGTTCTTCCCTGAAAATAATGGGAGGTCCACCCATCCCCGACCTCCCACCTGATGCCAACAGCCTCTTCCGGTCCACCAGAAGTATTCCTACCAGTGTCCAAAGTAGCTCCAGAGGTCACTGCCATCAAAGCACCGAGTGAGACTGAACCAAGCCAGTTTTTCCTAGTGACGCACTGTGACCCTTTACCTTTCACTCTTATACTGAATTACTTTTATGGATTAGGAAACTGAATTCACCCCAAAAGGAACTGGCTGGCTAGAATATGTAAGCCTGCAATGCAAAAGAATAGAGAAATCATTCCCTGAAAACTGGCAAGCGGTTCATGTGGAAAAACACTTTACTCCCTACTTTGTGTAGGTGTCTCTGGCATAGGAAAATGGGAATTTGAAAAGTGGAGAGGAGTTCACAGCCCATACATAGGGGAACTTTTGATAGGGGTAATGTTGGGGTAGAGGAAAGAGCCTGCCCCCTTGCAAAGCTATGTTTATCTCTTAAATAACAGTGCTAAATGGACTGGTTTTCCCATTGCAAGTCATTCGTAAATGGGTGCTTCTGTATTTACTTGAACTTCAACCCCTTCTATCTTTTTACAAGCACATAGTTTAATAATGGCTTAGTGTTTCTATATTGATGGAATAAATAGCACAACTCTTAACTTCCCCTAAAATGATGTCTTTTTTAGTACTACAAAGCCACTCTCAGAAGTTTCCATTCATTGAGTGCTGTCATGGGTAGATTTTCATATTAGTTTGTAAATATTTTCATTGGGCTTTATCCCTGAATTTTTAAATGGCCTCCAAACATGTTTGAAATGTGTACATGCAGCCCAAGATGGACCTGCAATTATCCAACTTTCATGTGCTTTTTAAAAAATTATCAAAGATAGATTTCCAAAAATTTAGAAAAGATATTTTTGTATAAAATATTCATGCTGTCATTCCTTAGAGAATTCTACGTGTACACACACACACACACACACACACACACACACACACACATCATTCTCTGTAATCCAGTTGGTGACCTACCTTGCTTACTATCTTTGCTCTTACCAATTCCATTCCTCTGACAGCCACACACACGCTGTTGTAGGGTTATGTGGAGAGCTAGTGCAGGTATTCAGTTATCTCCGGGAAGTGGTCTTTTCATCCTCGGAGTAATCAACAGAGAGTCATCATAAGCTAAAACTAAAAAGCTTTTGTGGGAATTTTATCACCAGGGAAATTTGTTCCTCCTTCAGAAAGACTATCACCAGGAAAAAAGAAATAAAGGAGTTAAAATCACTTCAGACCATTGACTTGTTAAATCCCTCTAGATGCACAGATTGAGTTAGCTTTCAGGGGGCGGGAGGAATTATAAGAGGACTTCCCCGAGAAGGCTTACAAAGTGATCATAGCCTTGGTAACACTCGGAGGTGTGAGTGTGATCACTGTAGAGGAAATGCTAAGTGTGGCTGGAAGCTTGGGAAATGGGAAGGAGAAGAGACAATTGGCACCTCTTCTTTTTCTTTTTTTCTGGCTGCTTGTTTCTGGAGGTGGGTGTCGTCTGAGAATGCCCTTTCAAAGAAAAAAATACAGTTGAGTTTTTTAAATATTTTATCATTATGAGTGCACTGTAGTAGTTGTTGTTGGACTGGAACTCAGGTTGGAAACACTACAGGGATACTGATATTTCGTAAACCTCTCCAGAAACTAAGCCTCCTTCTAGATAGACCCACAAAATTTTATTTAAAATAGGCAGGTCTGGGAGTGTCTACAATTGCTCACTTATGTTTGGAGAATATGAATGCTTCCAAATTCAAAAGGATCCTTTAAGACTATCATTTGAATAAATAAAAAATAATAAAGTGTCTGGATGCCCCATATGTCCTAAATAATTTGAAATTGAATACATCCATTGATGGATATATATAGTATTATATATTTTTTTCTGTCACTAATTCTATTAGAAATTGTGAGAATACAGTTCAGCACATTAGGCTTTAACAAGATAAACCAATGATCATCCTTCCTTTCCTTCAAATAATTTGAATTTTGCCTGAAATGAGTAAGAAAATAGAGAAATGGCCTCATTTTTTAGTCTGACTACAGTAGAGTTGGGGGATATTTCTCAAGGGTTTGACTTCAGAATTGGAGCTGAGTTCCAAAATGCATGCTCATGAGGCCAGCCCAGAGGAGAGGTGGCTGAGGGCACCTGTGAAGGGAGGGGATCTCTAGCAGGGCCGGCTCACACAGATAAGTCACATGCACAGACTGTAGCTTTCTGCTCTCTGGCCGACCAACCACAGCCATAGCATCCTTATTGTTGTAATTCCCAGATTGTGATACTGTCACAAAACTGTTGCTAGGCAACAAATGTGGTTACCAGGTCTCAGCGAATAGCTGAAGGGGAAAGCAATGTGTTGCACCATTGTAGAGTAACCATAGCAATGACCTACTATTACAGACTAAAGAATTATCATTAACAATGTTAAAGTATCAGACAGAGGCCTTGAATTTGGAGACTTCTAAGCAGTATCTCTGCATAATTGAGTTATGTAAGAAGAGATTTCAGCTGTCTCAAGGCTATTCATTTACTATTTCTATGAAAGAGCCTTTGTAATTATTTTTATTTTTGAATTTTAAAAATACTGGGTTATGAAGCTATTGATTAAATGATAAAAGCTGGCAAAAGTAATCCAACACAGACTAATGTATTTCTTCATCTATCCTCGTGCCTGCATCAGGGTTGCCTGCTTCATAGTAAAGATTGATTTGATTTGAAAAAAACAGTCTACATTAATACTAGATCGAAGCCACAAAAGAAGTTGCAGTAAAATAAAGTAGCCCTGTGTAAGTTGACAGCTATCCTGAGTTACTAAAAGTGGAATTCCTTCTGCACAATACAAGGCCTAAATGCTCTCTTGGCGGTTACTCCGTTGAATCTATCTATCTATCATCTATCTATCTATCTATCTATCTATCTATCTATCTATCTATCTGCCTCTCTACATCTGCCCACAAAAATATCTGTAAAAATAAATAAATAAAACAATATCGCCTGCTAGGATGCCCAAGCGTCCTTGACTCCTTCGCGTCCGGTCCTCCCCCGAGACCTCGCTGAGGCAGTAATGTCCAGCATC